GTCCTGGTTTAGTTCTGGTATCGTCCTGGTTTAGTCTGGTTTAGTTCTGGTTTAGTCCTGGTTTAGTCCTGGTTTAGTCCTGGTTTAGTTCTGGTTTCTGGTTTAGTCCTGGTTTAGTTTTGGTATCGTCCTGGTTTAGTCCTGGTTTAGTCCTGGTTTAGTTCTGGTTTAGTTCTCTGGTTTAGTCCTGGTTTAGTCCTGGTTTAGTTCTGGTATCGTCCTGGTTTAGTCCTGGTTTAGTCCTGGTTTAGTTCTGGTTTATCGTCCTGGTTTAGTCCTGGTTTAGTCTGGTTTAGTTCCTGGTTTAGTTCTGGTTTAGTCCTGGTTTAGTTCTGGTTTAGTTCTGGTATCGTCCTGGTTTAGTCCTGGTTTAGTCCTGGTTTAGTCCTGTTTAGTTCTGGTTTAGTCCTGGTTTAGTCCTGGTTTAGTTCTGGTATCGTCCTGGTTTAGTTCTGGTTTAGTCCTGGTTTAGTCCTGGTTTAGTTCTGATATGGTCCTGGTTGTGGTAGATTTATGAAAATCTCTTTTTAATCCCTTTGCTCCATAAACAAAGCTCCATCTGGACCTGATTTGGACCTGGTTTAGACCGGATTTGGACCTGGTTTAGACCGGATTTGGACCTGGCTCCAGCTGTCGGGGATAAATATCGGGTCACAGATGTAAACAAATCACTTTGAATAATTTTTTATTTAATCATCATAAAAACAACGTCAGCAAGAAACAGAACACAGAAAATACAGACCTGGTTTAGACCTGGTTTAGTCCTGGTTTAGTCCTGGTTTAGTCCTGGTTTAGTCCTGGTTTAGTGCTGGTTTAGACCTGGTTTAGACCTGGTTTGGTCCTGGTTTAGACCTGGTCCAGTCCTGGTTTAGACCTGGTCCAGTCCTGGTTTAGACCTGGTTTGGTCCTGGTTTAGTCCTGGTCCAGTCCTGGTTTAGACCTGGTTTGGTCCTGGTTTAGACCTGGTCCAGTCCTGGTTTAGACCTGGTTTGGTCCTGGTTTAGACCTGGTCCAGTCCTGTGCAGAGACACTGAAGGACGGGGCTGAAGACCTAAAGTCTGCCTTCTGGTCTGGTTAAAACCCTGGTCTAACCTTGGACTAAACCTGGTCTAAAACAGGACTAAACTCAGTCTAATCCAGGACTAAATCTGGTCTAGTCCATAACTAAAGCGGGTCTAGGACAGGACTAAAGCGGGTCTAGGACAGGACTAAAGCGGGTCTAGGACAGGACTAAAGCGGGTCTAGGACAGGACTAAAGCGGGTCTAGGACAGGACTAAAGCGGGTCTTGTCCGGGTCTTTTCCAGACGAGGTCCGGCGGGTCTTGGCTCGGTTCCGGGTGACTCAGATGGAGCTGGTCGACGCCGCGGTGACGGTGCAGAGACTGACCAATCAGCTGCAGGCGCTCCGGAGAACGCGATTGGACGAACAGCTCAAGGCCCGCCTCCAACGAGAACTACAGGTCTGATCCAGTCCTGGTTTAGTCCTGGTTTAGTCTTGGTTCAGAACATTTAGTTTATGATGATGATTTTTCATTTCTCTGCTCCCAGACCCGGACTCTGGACCGAGGATCTGGTCCGGACCGACAGAGGGACCCGGCGCTGACGGAGCAACGACTGAACCAACTCAGACACAAACTGAGGAGCAAGAAGAGACTCCAGGTCAGAACTAAACCAGGACTAAACCAGGACTGAACCAGGTCTAAACCAGGACTAAACCAGGTCTAAACAAGGACTAAACCAGGTCTAAACCAGGACTAAACCAGGTCTAACCAGGACTGAACCAGGACTGAACAAGGACTAAACCAGTTCTAAACCAGGACTAAACCAGGTCTAAACAAGGACTGAACCGTTCAATCCTGGTTCAGTCCTGGTATAGTCCTGGTTCAGTCCTGGTTTAGTCCTGGTCTGGTCTCTGTTTCAGTCCTGGTTCAGTCCTGGTTTAGTCCTGGTCTGGTCTCTGTTTCAGTCCTGGTTCAGTCCTGGTTTAGTCCTGGTCTGGTCCTGGTTCAGTCCTGGTTCAGTCCTGGTTTAGTCCTGGTCTGGTCCTGGTTTAGTCCTGGTTCAGTCCTGGTCTGGTTTAGTCCTGGTTCAGTCCTGGTTTAGTCCTGGTATAGTCCTGGTTCACTCCTGGTTTAGTCCTGGTTTAGTCCTGGTTTAGTCCTGGTCTGGTCCTGGTTTAGTCCTGGTTCAGTCCTGGTTTAGTCCTGGTCTGGTCTCTGTTTCAGGGAGTCCTCCTCTGGTCTGGGTCTCGTGTTGCTGCTGTGGGGCCGTACTTCCAGGCCCTCGAGTCCGGACTGAGGCCTCCCCCAAGACCGGCTAAACCCGACCCAGGTAAAGTCCACGGTCCGGTCTAACAGTCCGGTCTAAAGGTCCGGTCTAAAGGTCCGGTCTAAAGGTCCGGTCTAAAGGTCTGGTCTAAAGGTCCGGTCTAAAGGTCCGGTCTAAAGGTCCGGTCTAAAGGTCTGGTCTAAAGGTCCAGTCTAACGGTCCGGTCAGAGTACTGAAGTACTGAAGTACTGAAGTACAGAG